GCCCAGATTTCTAAACTGGAAGTAAAATATCTGGGGTACATCTTAAGCCCAGGGAACTACACCATGTCCATCGAACGAAAGGAAGCTATCTGAAAGGTCAGGCCTCTACAACTGAAGAAGTAACTCAAAACTTTCCTGGGTATGACAGGAACTTGCAAGATTTGGATCCCAGGATTTGGAATCATTGCTAAGCTACTGTATGAAGCTCTAACAGGGTCAAAGCATGAACTGCTTGAATGGTCAAGGAAACAACAAGAGGCTTTATGTTCTAGCTGAACAAAGTGGGGTTTGCACAGTAATAAAACACACCTGTTGTTCTTATATTAACAATTCAGGATTAGTTGAACTGAAAGTTCAAAAGATTTACTAACAGGCTACCTGGCTACATAATTTCAATATAATCCCACTGCTCAAACCATCTGGGACTCCATCAAAGGATACCTACCAACTGTGATGTGGTTCTTTCCTTTGACCTTCAATAGCTCTCTTATTACTATGAATCTTTGTCCTTACTTGTTTAACCTCTTTGTAAATTTTGTGTCTTTTACATTACAACAGTTCCATGTCAAAATGATGGTCATGCAATGATTCCAATCCCTCCCTTGGATTCAGAGTCTCCTGATGACTCACCCTTAGAGCCCTCAGGCCAGGCAGCCAGAGATTTCCACGCCCTTGCGAGGCAAGGCCAACATCTCTAATCAGCAGGAAGTAGATAAAGAAGACCAACCTTCTCCCTCATCAACCCTTAAGAATAAGAGATGGAAATCTCTGAAGGGGAAGGGGAAATGAAACAGGAATAATAAGGGTTGGTTGCAGGAGAATAAAAAACTCCAGGCAGCAGTTTCACATGACTAGCAAAAGGAAACTACTGAAATAGCTGCAGAAGATAGGGGTTGATAAGACCCTGAAAAGCCAGGATGAGAGCCAAGATAGCTAAGGCTGATGGGACCCACTATGGCACTGGATTTGATGGAGGTTCACCTAGGACCTCATTACACACTCACTAACATACAAAATCACACACCCATCAGTACCATAATGGTTATAGGAACACCCATATTTTGAGTAAAACTAGATAGCATCACAGTTCTGAGAAATATCTACCCGTTTACAGTAATCTTGATGAATATTCCATCTCTTGTTTAGAAGAAACTCATAAAGATAGCAGCCCCAAAAACCCTTGCATGCAACTCTCTCTTAAGCCCACACACCCCTTTCCTGAGTGTGTACTTTTCTCTTTGCAATAAATCTCTGTACTTTTCCTTAAAAGAACCCAAACAAAACCTTTTATTTGCAGACCCCGAAATTTGAATTTCATTTAATTGAACACATCCGAAAACATTCTTTTTTCCCCCATCTTGCTCATCATCAATCACCATCAGAGAAATGAAAATCAAAACCAAAATGAGATACCATCTCACACCAGTTAGAATGGCGATCATTAAAAAATCAGGAAACAACAGGTGCTGGAGAGGATGCGGAGAAATAGGAACACTTTTACACTGTTGGTGGGACTGTAAACTAGTTCAACCATTGTGGAAAACAGTATGGTGATTCCTCAAGGATCTAGAACTAGAAATACCATTTGACCCAGCCATCCCATTACTGGGTATATACCTAAAGGATTATAAGTCATGCTGCTATAAAGACACATGCACACATATGTTTATTACGGCACTATTCACCACAATAGCAAAGACTTGGAATCAACCCAAATGTCCATTAGTGACAGGCTAGATTAAGTAAATGTGGCACATATACACCATGGAATACTATGCAGCCATAAAAAAGGATGAGTTCATGTCCTTTGTAGGGACATGATGCAGCTGGAAACCATCATTCTCAGCAAACTATCGCAAGAACAGAAAACCAAATACCGCATGTTCTCACTCATAAGTGGGAATTGAACAATGAGATCACCTGGACACAGGAAGGGGATCATCACACACCTATTGTGGCAGGGGAGAGGGATAGCATTAGGAGATATACCTAATGTAAATGACGATTTAATGGGTGCAGCACACCAACATGGCACATGTATACATATGTAACAAACCTGCACATTGTGCACATGTACCCTAGAACTTAATGTATTAAAAAAAAAAAAAAAAGCCAGGAAACAACAGATGCTGGAGAGGATGTGGAGAAATAGGAACGCTTTTACACTGTTGGTAGGAGTGTAAATTAGTTCTACCATTGTGGAGGACAGTGGGGCAATTCCTCAAGGATCTAAACCAGACATACCATTGACCCAGTGATCCCATTACTGGGTATATACCCAATGGATTTTAAATCATGCTGCTATAAAGACACATGCACACATATGTTTATCATGGCACTATTCACAATACCAAAGACTTGGAACCAACCCAAATGTCCATCAATGACAGAATGGATTAAGAAAATGTGGTTGCACACGTATGTTTATTGCAGCACTATTCACAATAGCAAAGACTTGGAATCAACCCAAATGTCCATCAGTGACAGACTGGATTAAGAAAATGTGGCACATATACACCATGGAATACTATACAGCCATAAAAAGGATGAGTTTGTGTCCTTTGTAGGGACATGGATGCAGCTGGAAACCATCATTCTTAGCAAACTATCACAAGGGCAGAAAACCAAACACCGCGTGTTACTCCTTCGTAGGTGGGAACTGAACAATGAGATCACTTGGACTGCAGGAAGGGAACATCACACACCGGGGCCTATCATGGGGAGGGGGGGAGGGATTGCATTGGGAGTTATACCTGATGTAAATGACGAGTTGATGGGTGCAGCACACCAACATGGCACAAGTATACATATGTAGCAAACCTGCATGGTGTGCACATGTACCCACCACAACTTGAGTTTAATAATAATAAATAAATTTAAAAAAAAAAAAAAAAGAAAGAAAATGTAGTACATATACACCATGGAATATTATGCAGTTATAAAATGGGACGAGTATTATGCAGTTATAAAATAGGATGAGTTCATGTCCTTTGTAGGGACACGGATGAAGCTGGAAACCATCATTCTCAGCAACGTATCACAAGGACAGAAAACCAAACACTGCATGTTCTCAGTCACAGGTGGGAAATGAACAATGAGAACACTTGGACACAGGGCGGGGAACATCACACACTGGGGCCTGTCAGGGGGTGGGGGTCTGGGGGAGGGATAGCATTAGGATAAAAACCTAATGTAAATAAAAACCTAATGATGAGTTAATGGGTGCAGCACACCAACATGACACATGTAGACCTATGTAACAAACCTGCACGTTGTGCACATGTACCATAGAACTTAAAATATAATAAAAATTTTTTAAAAGAAAAAATAAAATTGAAATAGAAAATCTCCAAATTAAAAAAAAATATAAAACCTATCCTGTTTGAGGACTGTGCAAAATCTGAAACTGAGCTGATCTGTTCCATGGCTTACATGAAAAGACACAGTATTAGAGAAAAGTAAATTTGTTTTTGTTTTTGTTTTGTTTTGTTTTTCTGAAGGGGGCAGAGTCTCACTTTGTCACTCAGGCTGGAGTGCAGCAGCGCAATCTCAGCTCAGTGCAGCCTTGACCTCCTGGGATCAAGTAATCCTCCTGCCTCAGCCCTCCAAGTAACTGAGACTACAGGTTAATTCAAAATTATAGTACAATTTCATTCAGAATCTCAGCATCTGCCTTTCTCAATGCCTCTCATTTTCATTTTAAAAACATTTTTATAAATAAATCTACAATGATGAGATATTCTGTTTAATGTTTTCTGACCACTGCTCTTCCAAGTTAGGCACAGTATTATGGATATTTAGTAGTACCTGTAAGTTTTCTCTTAGCATGACTATAATGCCCTTGTATAACAGATGCAAAGTCTTGTCACCTAAATCTATAACAAAATAATCTACACTCTGCTGTATTTCAAAGTGTGAGATTAGAAATCCATTTTTCTTCTTGTTTAGACATGATGGGTATGCCCTGGTATTTAAAAGCAGAAAACTTAGGTTTGGCAATACAGGCGGTACATGAAACACTGTTGAGTTATTACATCTCTATAATTTCTAGTTTGCCAAGCAACAGTGCAAGGTGAGGAGAGAATAACGAATATTCTTGTTCCAACTCTTTAACTCTGTGGTTGTGGCACAAAGCAGCTACAGGCAATAGCTAAAGAAATGAGTGTGACTGTGTTCACTGAAATTTGAAAATCCTATAAATTTTACAACTCATATATTATTCTTTTTTTGATTATTTTCAACCATTTAGAAATATAAAAAAGCATCCTTAACTTAGAGCCATACAAAAATGGATGCTGGCAGTTAGCTCTTGTGCTAGAGAAAAAAAAACTGGGACCACTGAAGATGAGTTATAGGAAAAGCAGACTTAAGGTTAATGTAAGGGGATATTACTAACATTTTACTAGCATTTAAAAATGAAAGTAGCCACTCTTGTAAGGTAGTATACACATTTCATAGAAAATACTGAACCCAAAACTGTTCCATTTGTTGGAAGTGATAAAAAAGGAACTTCTAAATTGAAATGACGAGATCCAAAGATGCTTCCAGATATCATTTTTACAAATAATTCTTACCTAAATTTATCCCAGTAGCAACTCTAGCTTAATACTGGCAGTGGATATAGCTAATAGAAGCAGAAAGGGAGAGACTAGGAAGGAGAGGAAAAAAACAGAGGGGTGGGGATAGGGAAGTAGAACTAATATATAATATGTAATGGATGTAGTTTATGTGAGAAAGACTTTGTATGAAGCCAGGTCAGCCAACCCATACTAGAAGAAAAGCTCTTGGATAGACATAAAGAGATTGGCAAAAATTGTACATGGATATGTTTTAAAATAAAATAAAAATATAAGGTATGTATTCATTTTTTTACCATTAAACCATTTTCTGGTTTAATTAGCTTTTAGATTAACAGACCAACTACTCATCTCAATTGCATAGATTTAGAGGGTTTCCACTGTATACACTTAAAACTTTCATCACACATTTTTTATTTTTACCTCATAAAGTGTGTTGTATGTGGTGACAGTCACAGTGTTTGTATGCAACATCAGCCTTTCTCCAAGAAGAGTGAAAAGACTATGGGTGTGCATAATTTCAACTTTTCTCCTGGAGAGAAGGGGGAAAAATAAAACACCATGAAATACATTGGATTCTCTGCTCACATGACTTTTAGATAAGAGAGAACAATTTACAAGCAGATACAGAATAATACAAGTAATTATTTTTATGAACTTCCATCTATAAAAACAACAGTTTGTAACACAACTGTGTCCTAAAGTTCCAAGACTGTTAAAAACTTTTCAAATAAAATATCTGTGTGAACTAAAATGTGAAATGTACAGATTATGGAATATTACATAAATGTCATTGTTATTATTTTCAAATTTCAAATAACTATTTAGAAGTGATTTTATTGGGTTAAAACTATTGGTTTCCCCTAACATAGAGACCACATAATTTTTAAATCATTTCTATCCAAATTCAAAGTTTATAACGACTGTAACAAACCTTAACATCAAGAACTAAAATTATGGTTAAAAGTAAATACGATAGGCTTAATTTTGGGGTCATAAAACAAAATAATTCTGCATAATTAAAGAGAGTTCATCAATGCTTGTATTTCTGGTCTACCAATGGATTTAAAAAATACCTTTCTACTTAATGTTGCCTGATTTAATTTTGTCCCTCCCACACCCACACTTAGGATAGAAGGTTCCATTAAAGGAACCATCCTGGAACTCTTAGCTCTAGCTCAAGAATTACTACCGGCCTCTCATTTGTGTTACTTCCTTAGAATTCAAGATCTGGGCCGGGAGCAGTGGCTCACGCCTGTAATCCCAGCACTTTCAGAGGCTGAGGTGTGCGGATCATGAGGTCAGGAGTTCGAGACAAGCCTGGCCAATATGGTGAAACCCCATCTCTATTAAAAATACAAAAATTAGCCGGGCGTCGTGGCACACGCATGTAGTCCCAGCTACTCAGGAGGCTGAGGCAGAAGAATCACTTGAACCTGGGAGGTGGAGGCTGCAGTGAGCCGAGATCGTGCCACTGCACTCCAGCCTGGGGGACAGAGTGAGACACCGTCTCAAGAAAAAAAAAAAAAAAAGAATTCAAAATCTGGATCATCTTCTCTCCCAGCTCTCAGTATTTCATTTCTTTCTTCAATTTTCTATTGTTCTCTGGTTTTGGCAACTGTGACATAGTCTGACAAAGTAATCATCAAACTCTGGTTCCTTTCTTCCTGGGTCCACATCTATATTACATTTCCAGCCTCTCTTATAGCTAAGTGTGGCTATTTAACTGAGTTCTAGCCAATAAAATGTGAACAGAACAGTTGTAGATTATTTTGAGGCCTGACCCACAGGAAAAGCACTCATGCACATTTTCCATGCTCTTTCCGCAAGCCAGCAACACAGATCCACAGAAGAAGACAATGGAGCCACAAGGTGGGAGAAGCTGCCTGGGTCTCTAAATCACTGTAAGATAATCAACTGCTTGGGAAAGCCTATTTGGATTTTAAGTGAACATGAAATAAAATACTACCTGGTAAGTGACTAGAATTTCATTATTTATCAGTTATGGCAGCTATTGCTACTATAATTAATACAGAAATCAAATAAACCATTTATGTGGGTACCATTCATCTGCAAAAGGTCTCTTCTAACATCAGCTTCGAAGTGCCACACTCCGTAACAAAAGGCACAGGACTGTTGATCCCCTTACCCTATCCACCTCAGTCCAGGCAAGGAAAAAGGAAAATTACCTAAACTCAAAAGGAAGCTAGGGCATCTGTCCTGTGGCTGTGTTTGCAAAACACTTAAATATGACTGAAAAAGGTCAAATGGCTATTTAAAAAAATACAGGGCTAATGAGTATTATGGGACGATGGAAGGGAGGTTTAAATCTCTTCCAACTCAAGCCTAGCCCAAGAAAAGGAGGCCTTAAGTGTTCCTTTGCTCCCAATCAGGAAAGAACAAATGACAAAGCACAGACCTTGAAACAGATCTCTGTTACAAGGAGCTGGTAAACATATGTCTAAATTAGTCTATCTGAAGGCCAGCTCAGTGGCTAATGCCTGTAATCCCAGCAGTTTGGGAGGTCAAGGCAGGAGGCTCACTTGAACTCATGAGTTCAAGACCAGTCTGGGCAAACCAGCAAGACCGCATCTCTACTACACAAAACAAAACAAAACAAATAAAATTAAATTTAAAAATTAGCTGGGCATGGTGGCAGGCTACTCTCATCCCCAGTTACTCAAGAAGGGGAGGATGACTTGATTCCTGGAGATCAAGGCTGCAGTGGGCTTGCGCCACTGCACTCCAGCCTGAGCAACAGAGTGAGACCCAGTCTCAAAAAACTGAACTAATTAATTAAGTAGGCTACCTGAAATTTAGAATACTCTCTTAACTGTGCCACTACTACTTCAGCTACCAAAGAAATCCTTGCCCTCTTGATTATCTCCTCCAATGCAAACGTTTATACAGGTGCTTAATTCTAGGTTTGGGGGAAACTTGAAGATACTGTGCATACACCAGGGAAGAGACAAGTCAGCTTCCTCCTATAGTTTGCTTTAAAACAATACTTACCATAAATTTTGCTGCACAGCAGTCAAGAGATAAACAAAATACCATCCATCATATTAGGCAGGAAATGTGCACTGCCCCTGTACATCACATGATTTTGTTCCTTATAGGACTTCTAATGAAAGACCTAGCTCTGTGGGTTTAGTTCAGGAAAGGCTTCAGTGGGACATTTACTGGAAAAACTAATATCAAAATTACCTTTAAGATCTAAAGAGACTTCCGTTTTAGTGCTGATTTGCTTATATCTTGAGTTTGACAGGACTTCTGCCTACATGGATCAAGAGTGTCATCTGTATTTTTACAGAATCTTGTAATCATGCACATTATAGATGTATTAGCTTACTATACATTCCACTGAAATGTATTTAAATTTTCTTCTTCACAAAACAACCTTTTTGTGGGGTGGTCAAATATACTTCTTGTTGCTAGGTGTGGGGGCTCATGCCTGTAATCCCAACACTTTGGGAGGCCGAGATAGGCGGATCACTTGAGGTCAGGAGTTCAAGGCCAGCATGGCCAACATAGTGAAACCCCGTCTCTACTAAAAATCCAAAAATTAGCTGGGCGTGGCAGCATGCACCTATAGTCCCAGCTACTCGGGAGGCTGAGGCAGGAGAGTCACTTGAGCCTGGGAGGCGGAGGTTGCAGTGAACTGAGATTGCGCCACTGCACTCCACCCTGGGCAAAAAAGGGGGGCCCTGTCTCAAAAAAAAAAAAAAAAAAAAAAAAAGATACTTCTTGTAACAAATTCAGAGTATATGTGAAAACAGTAAAGAAAACAAAAAAGAAAGAAAAGAAACCCCATAATTCTGTAACCCGACATAATCATTATAAATATCATTTTATATACAGATTAATTGCTATGCATATAAATCCACATATGACACACAGATATAAATGAGAGGATGAGAAGAATACAATGGAAATTGTTCTATATAAGGTAATTTATACTTTGTTTACTTTAAATCAACAATATACTGTGTATTTTTCAGTGTCATAAAATATAACTGATAAGAAAAATTGAGCATAATTGGCCAAGCGCGGTGGCTCACACCTGTAATTCTAGCACTTTGGGAGGCTGAGGTGGGAGGATCACTTGGGGTCAGGAGTTCAAGACCAGCCTGGCCAACATGGTGAAATTCTGTCTCTACTAGAAATACAAAAATTAGCCAGGCATGGTGGCAGGCACCTGTAATCCCAGCTACTCAGGAGGCCGAGGCAGGATAATCATTTGAACATGGGAGGTGTAAGTTGCAGTGGGCAGAGATTGCATCACTGCACTTCAAGCTGGGCAACAGAGCAAAACGCCATTGCGGGGAAAAAAAAAAAAAAAAGAGTAGCATAATTGTTTTATCCATTCACTACTGTTAGCCATTTATGTAATTTCCCATTTTTTTCTACCATAAATAAAATTTTCCTTTAGACACATCTTTGGGCATAATCATGGCTATTTCCTTAGGATAAAAACTGAAATGATCAGGTTAAAAGCTTTTCATATTTTAATTTTTATGAGACTTTGCTGAACTGACCTCCAAAAATATGTACATTTATATTTCTACTATTAAGGTATAAATGCATTTTACCAACCCTATGTATTATAACAATCAGAAAAATAGTTAGTTTGGTATGTAAAAAGTAGATCTTATTTTCACTGACAAGAATTGCTGATCAACTGAAAGTTTCTAAGCATTTATACTAATTACAAGAACTTCCTGATACTGTTCTGTGACCCATTTTTTTCTGTGTGTTCATCTTTTTTCTACTAGTTATAAGATCTCTAATAATATCAGGAAAATTATTACTTTGTCAACTCATTGACAAATATTCTCCACTTTCTGAATTTCAAGGGATTTTGTGGCAATAAAAGGTTTTTATAATTTTCTTGAATAAAATCTATCATTTTAAGTTTTGATCCTGTCATTTCTTCATTTATACTTAATACTCATTCTTTCTACTACAGCATTTTAAAATGATTTTTATTTTAACTCATTTTTCATAATTATGTAATTGCTTTTGGAAATCATATACAACATAGAAATTCATAAAGTATAGGGAAATAGAAAGTACAACACTTAAAATACTACTACCTAAAAGTAACACAATAAATAACAATAAACATTAAATATCTTTTTATGGAGAATAAGAGAAGGCAAGAAAGGAGAAGGGAAGGAAGAGGGAATAAAGAAGGATAGAAGAAACTCATACTAAATTTTATTTTAAATAAAAAGCATCAAATATAATTTTACATTTAACAGAAAAGAAAGAAAAGGACATGAAACAATAAAAAAAATTTTAAAACTTCAGATGACTTTCTCTACCACATGAAAGGCTTTTTTTAATTAAAAATCTTTATGAGGCTTAAAAAAATTATGAGTAAAAACAAAGTGTTACATAATTAACTAAACATTTCAATTTTAGAAAGTATCAGTTTACTCTTTTATATTAAAGACAGATAATTACCATCCTCACACTTTAGGTCACCTAATTTTTGTTGAGTTATACTGCTATCTAAACATCAAGGTT